GGGGGTATGAGGTGGAAAAGGTTGGTGGTTACTTTCATTCTCGTGAATATCATCGACAACCGTAACCTGGTCATGTAGAAGAGATCCCTCATGAGCCAGATGTTGATTAGCAACAGACCCTACTGCTTGACGAGGATGATCCCTATCCAGCACATAGTCAACACCAAAATCACTCTGAGCGGCATTAGGAGGTCGAGGAGTATGTCGCCGTGATGATCCCAAGAAACTCCTAAGGAAGGAGATACAGGACACAGTATGACGTGGTTCCAAACTGGAACTAGTATCATTCCCAGTCATACTAATATTCATACGTGAAAGTCTCTCAGCAAGTCTTCTAACTTCTTCATCTCCAAGATCGTCAATACGAACCGATGATGTTGATGACATCGTTGAATACCAAGTCCTTCAAAGTCTATGGAGTCGGTATCCCGGTAGAATATGCAGGTTTTATTGAGTAAACAAAACACCCACAATCACCTGGAATCGCACTGCCGAAGCACGATAATAAGCGAATGTAGTAGATCGCAACTACTTTATAGTTATGACTAATACGTCATACAACTAGCGCTAAAGGGACAGCGGAAACAAGACGCAAGACGACAATAACACAATCAAATATATTCAGATATCATCATCTTGCTGCCCTTGCAATCCTTCACTTCATGCCGAAACCGGCACAGCCTCAGTGCAATCAATTACATCGGCCGGGGCGCCTATGCCATCCCAAGATAAGCCTCAGTGCAATCAATTACATCGGCCGGGGCGCCTATGCCATCCCAAGATAAGCCTCAGTGCAATCAATTACATCGGCCGGGGCGCCTATGCCATCCCAAGATAAGCCTCAGTGCAATCAATTACATCGGCCGGGGCGCCTATGCCATCCCAAGATAAGCCTCAGTGCAATCAATTACATCGGCCGGGGCGCCTATGCCATCCCAAGATAAGCCTCAGTGCAATCAATTACATCGGCCGGGGCGCCTATGCCATCCCAAGATAAGCCTCAGTGCAATCAATTACATCGGCCGGGGCGCCTATGCCATCCCAAGATATGTCTTGGTACAATCAATCTCGCCGGAGCACGAGATAGGAGGATCAACTTTCTCTGAACGATCAAATTGGTTCTGGTTTCGACCGGCGCGGAGATCGCTTTCACTATTAGTAAGACAGATTTCGCTTGGGGCAGATATGCCATAGCAAAGGGGACGCATTACCATGAGCAAGGAGTGCGGATAATGCGTCGTCAAACTCATCTCGGACTCTCGGCAAGGGGGCCGCGATAGTTATAATCCTTATACGCAAATATCACGCGTGAGCTTGGTTATAATCCATGTCGAGTATCCTCAACGAGACGTTTCGTCTGATTCCCATGTATTTCCATCATCTCGCTGTACGCGAAGTGAGATACAGTAGGACACAGACTCACACGCTCTCGAACACATTGGTATCATATCTGACGTGAACTGCATCTTTCGGTGAAGGTTATCCCACATGTAGTGCCCAACACGAGAGAACGTCAATTATTGTATTAATAAGTTCAACAGAAGTACCTAAGTAAAGTTCATCACTGAGCAGCCACGAACCGCGCGAAGAACCGATAAGATCTATCCGATTGAATGACTGAGGGAAATCAACCCGTTTGAAATGGTCGAAAGCTCCTCAAATAGATACTACAACCCGAACAAAGTCGAGCAAGTATTCCTGATTGAACACTTTTCGTATAGACTACAATACGGAATGAAATAACAACGTCGCTTGGAAAAAATGACGTATTCCTCATCGCTCTTATCTTGACCGCGGATCTTCAGGAGCTATCGAACGTGTTAGACCACCGTTTGAATAAAAAGCTGGGATACATTGTTTCCGATTGCACTCCAAACAACCAGCGCTTCCAGCATCGCTAATACATTCTGCGATGCAGTGTTGCTTACCACAATCAGCAAGGACCCCCATGAGGTTAGCACAGACTCCACTGAGGGGTTTTAGACCGAAGGGAGTGCGACCGGGATCCCGAGTATAGGCAGTCAGACACTCCGCGTCCTTGTCGATATCTGCGAGTGTATTCTGAGCACAAGATACCATCTCCTTGGTAAACTTGTATCCGTCATAGTAAAGTGAACTACCATCGTTGTTCTGAACCGACATCCACCAACGGACCTGATCCCTCGTGTTGCACCCAATGCCACTTGGTGCCCTATCCAGGGTTTGAGCGATGATGGTTGGGGTCGTGAGGTTAGACCAGCCCGCCGAGTTCTCAGCTTGGACCTTTACAGAATAAGTTTTCTTATTAGACAAGCCTGTAATATCACAGAAATTGAGCCCAGCTGAAGGAGAGCATGCCACACCACTCCCATCAGCGTAAACGACACGATAACCTGTGACTTCAAGAGAGCAGCTAGGATTAGTAGCAGGATACCACCGAATGCTGATACCATCGGAGAACACTGCCTGAATCGTTGGTTGACTTGGAGGATCCGCACTGCAAGTATCCTTGGTCTTCACTGTGATAGGATCAGACGGTTCACCGTTCCCATGAGAATTCACAGCATGGACCTTGAACGTATAGGAGGAAGCTCTTGCTAAATCCGTAATGGTAGTGTTTAGGCGATGACCATCTACATCCACAGTGCGATGTTCATCGATAGACACCACATATCGGAGGATCATTGCGCCGTGATCATTGGTGGCTGGCCAAGCGAGATCAACAGAGTTTGATGTGATATGACTCGGACTAACCGTACCAACCTATGGAGAGAAACGTAGGCAATGTGACTGGAGGAGAAGTAACTAAATATCGTTTACCTTGGCTGGGGCACTGGCTCCAGTAGCATCAGTTTTCATTGTATAAGTGGAGGATGCGGGGCTCGAACCTACGCCGTTCACTGCAGTGACGGTAAAAAGAACAGTCTGCTCAGGTGACAGAGCAGAGACTGTATGTGGCTAAACAGATCCATAAAGCTATTTTGTGAGTTATTTTTGTATTTACTTTGGATACATCAGCAGCTTGGACCGTCATCGAGCTCCAGTTGGTGGGTGTTTGACCGGACGAGACCTGAGGAACGTGAAACAATCAAAAAGCGCACTTGGCGAGAAGAACTATGCGGATTACCGCATATCTTAGATCATATCGGGTAATGTTCGAGCCATGACTAGACATAGGAGGGACGATCGAGACCGATACCGACGTAGACGATGTGTTAAATGCTGATAGACCTAAGAAAACGTTCCCTTTGTTGTTGCATCATACGCATTACTCACCGGGAACTGAAGGAGCCGCTGGTGTGAGAGTCGTTACCACGATAGCGACTGACGGACTACTCACACGATTGTCATCCATCTCAATCCTGTACCTCACTACGACCGAGGATGACGGCGACATGCCATTGAGGATTGCCGTAGTTGGCCTCGATTCATATTTCGCACGTAAGGCAACAGTCCAGGCTCCATCAGTGAATGTGTCGGCGAGGAAACGTCTGGCGTCTCCCCCACCGCGCGCTGGCTGAGTTTCTACCAAGAAAATTTTGGGCTTATATTGGAGGGCAGAAGCCACTGGGGTAAGGGTAAGGTTAAGCGAGGTGTAGCCGGCAGTGGCAATAGGATAAGGGAGATCGCCCAAGTCGATGACCGTTGGCCTGTTGGTGCCCTTCCCACCTAGCAGTCCGTACTGCCATAAGATGATAAGAACAATACCGATAGCGATAATGGCACCAACAAGGCACGCGAAACCATAGCGCAAGCAGCAAAAGCAATAGGGCTTGGCTCGGGACAATTTAGAGGGGGATGGATCAATATCGGCTTTCACCGGAGTACCCTCGTCACTGTCCTGGACTGCCACTTCACCGTTGGTGGTGGTGGTACAAGGACTTGGTCTTGCCATTGAGATAGGGCTCTCGAAAATGATACGAAAATCTACAGGAATGATGATGTTCAAATATCTATCGTTTTCAAGTAACGAAATACAACTTACGTGCGCCGCGTCACACGCTAGCTTACAAAATCTTGAAAACTTGTAGTCACTTGAAATTCCTCTTCAACTACTCTCCTGCCACTAATTTTGCCGCGCCACGTGTAAAATTTATGCAATTTTGGCCATTACAGGGCTGCCGTGTTATGGTCAAGGGCAGGGTCAGATCTATCAGAGCTTGCACGAATCTTCAGGGAGCTCGATCAGGCTGTGGCTTATTCGGACTGCTGAGACATCGTCAGTTGACCCATGCCTACTTCAGTCAGCCGAAGCCCGTTCCAATTCAGGCTTCCACCCAAGGCGAGTAACTCAACTGTGTGTTTCCATTACTTGCCATAAGGTTCAACCACCTATGATCACTCCCTGTCTCAAATTAATACGCTAGAACTGTTCCTGTGGGACAGCGGCACGCGCGCACAATCCTATTGTAAGTAGGTGCCCTTGTCTCCTTAAAATTATGAGCCGTGTTACAATGCAGTTGGGCAACGATACGAATGGGCAACAGTACTGTTCTTGTTGTTATGAAGAATCATACGAAATAGGGATGCTACACACAGCGGCTCCACCATCGTTTTCTGTCAATTTCAGAAGAGTATCAAACATGAGTCTTGACATGTTCTATAGTTCATGTGCTCTTCTGCTGGATTAGTAGTAGAGTTGCGTTACCAGTGCGGGGAAATTCTCCCTCGAGTTGCATCGATGAGGGATAGAAGTAGAATATCCGCTTTCTAATGGTGGGCCAGTTGATGGCTGTGGTCGCGACTTGCAACTTGGACCAATGGGCTCTCGATTTCGACGGCAACGAGAGAAGGGTTATTGAAAGCATACGAATTGCTCATGAGAAAAATGCCAAGTTCCGGTAAGTAGACAGGACAAAACGTCTTTGTCGAGGCGTCTTCAGTACGGGTCCAGAATTGGAGCTCTCTGGCTATGGTTGTGAAGACATTTCCTTGAGACGGACACTTTCCATCATTGCTGGGAGTCTCTTGCGCACATCATCGTA